CGTGTGTGTGGACGCCCGTGTGTGTGGACGCCCGTGTGTGTGTGGCACAGAGAAGGGTTAGGAGGACATGGGCCGAAGAGGAGGTTGTGTCTGTTTTGGGGGGGCTGCATGTGCAGTGTGGGTAGGACTGGGAGCGTGTGACGCGCACACGTGTGTGATCACGCAGGCCCTGTGCGGGCGGGCGCTGGTGTAAGCTCCTGCCGGGGGCCCACGGCTGAGTGGGTGGCGGGGGTGGATGCAGCGTTCGAGCGCGTCAGCCGCTGGGCTGGCCGTCCGGCTGAGCATGAAATCTTTCCTGGAGGAGCCGTCCTGGCCGACAGACCCCGGCACCCCCAAGTCATCCCCGTCTGGGGCTGCTTGTGGGTCCCTGGCGTGCAGCCCATGGGAGGGTCCCAGCTCCGTCCGGCGCCCACAGCACAAGAGCTGCCCCGTAACGGAGCCTTCGGCCTCAGCCCCGTGGGGAGCGAAGCGCTGAACGGGCCACCCAGAGAGAGGTGCTGGGGTGGGACGGCGGGGGGGGGGGGGGGGGGCCCCTTCCCTGTTGTAGTGCCAGGCCACCTGATACAAACAAGAAACCCACCGTGCCCCCCAGAGCCAATATGATGGGCAACGGAAGGGGCCCGACGTAACCCACAGGCATTCGGCCGAGACGGCACACCCCATTCGCTAGAGGAGCCGGCTGCACAGCCATGGCCCCGAGGCTCAGGCCAGTGGCCAAGGAACGGCTGAATTTCGTAAGTTTGCCCATCTCTCCTGGGCGGCGGATCACACCTCTCCCGGGCAGAGGATCACACCTCTCCTGTCCCGCAGATCACACCTCTCCCATCCAGCAGGTCACACCTCTCCTGTCCGACGAATCACACCTCTCCCATCCGGCGGATCACACCTCTCCCAGGCAGCGGATCACACCTTGTCTGGAGGATCACACCTCTCAGTGCCAAGGCAGCCACCTTAGGCAGACGGGGGCGTGTTCTCTCCCCTTCTGCCTCTGCGTGGCTGGACAAAGCAGCCTAGAAGGAAGTCATTGGAGGGAGTTTGGCGACCGGAAAAGAATGGGAGCATGTGCGCTGGGAGAAGGAGGCTGATGGAGAGACACACTAGCAATTAATAAGCAGCCCTCCCAGGGTGCTTTTCATCCACTGTACAACAGGGGGCAGTCTTGTAATTCTTCTTTTGCAGATCAGGAAACTGAGGCACAGACACCTCTGCCGAACAGAGGGGCCCGGGTGGCATCTTAAAAGTCTTGGGCTGACCTTACTCTTGCGTTGTGCTTGCCAACCCGGGGTCTTCCCCCAGACGCTGCTATCCAAACCCACACCAGGAGTGCTTTGCCAGTCACCAAAATGCAGCCACCTCTGGGGAGGAGCCTGGCAGCTGGTTAGTACCATGCAGCAACACCGCGCAGCCATATGGATCTAAATGAGTGCGGGGGAGTATAAGGCAAGTCCCATTACGCTGTCAGAAGGGGCTTTCACAGGGCGGAGAATCACCCCTCGGCCTATTTTTAAAGCACGTTTGCCCAGCGGGGAACAAACTTCTAATGTGGCTCCGCAAGAAACGCCCGTAGCCAAGATCTTACAAATGAGGAGGAGCCTTGCAAACATGGCTCTAATCCTCCCCACCCCGGGCATGACGGCCGCCGTCCTGTCAATGCCTGGCGCTGGCTATTTGTCGCAGTTCAGCCGAAGTCCACTGTTATAAACACTGGGCTCTATTGTGAGACAGGAAGAGACAGCGCCCGGCTCCGGCAGGGCGTGTTCCAGGGTGCGCTCTGTGTGCTGGCTTTGAAAAAAGCGGGGAGCCTGGCAAACAAAAATATCCGCTGCTGGGCACGGCCCCGGGCAGGCGGGGAGCAGGGGCTTCCGGCTCGCTCGGATCGGGGCTCGCAATTCACGCACACGTCTCGGGCGGGTGGGCAGCATTTGGAATTTCAGGCCCAGCTGGGCCTTGGTCGCTGGGCCCAGAAGCGGAGCCCCTGGCGGCCCTGTCATTGTGTCCAAGGGCTTCCCCAAAATGCAGCCCGGCTCCACAGACACACGAGCACTGCTAATCCGAGACGCTCTGGGGCTAGGCAGGGGGCAGCGGGGGGTATTTATTGATGATTTGGGCAGAATGTTCCCAGCCAGCGAGCGCTCCTGAGTAGCCTTGTGGCGCTCACATAAGGCTTGTGAGTCAGGCAGCAAACCCGGCTGATCAGGCAGCAGTTCTGCAGAAAAGGGCCTGGGGATTGCAGGGGATGAGAAGCTGGATATGAGTCAACAGGCGCCCTTGTAGCCAAGAAGGCGAATGGCATATTAGGGGGCATTAGGAGGAGCATTGTCAGCAGATCCAGAGATGTCATTATTCCCCTTTATTCGGCTCTGGGGAGGGCACATCTGGAGTATTCTGTCCAATTCTGGGCCCCCCACTGCAGAAAGGATGTGGACGCATTGGAGAGGGTCCAGTGGAGGGCGACCAGAATGATTCGGGGGCTGGAGCACATGACCTACGAGGAGAGGCTGAGGGAGTTGGGTCTGTTTAGTCTGCAGAAGAGAAGAGTGAGGGGGGATTTGAGAGCAGCCTGCAACTCCCTGAAGGGGGGTTCCAAAGAGGCTGGAGAGAGGCTGTTCTCAGTGGGGCAGATGCAGAACGAGGAGCAATGGTCTCAAGTTGCAGTGGGGGAAGTTTAGGTTGGATATTAGGAAAAATGATTTCCCTAGGCGGGTGGGGAAGCACTGGGATGGGTTCCCTAGGGAGGGGGTGGAATCTCCATCCCTAGAGGTGTTTAAGTCCCGGTTTGACCAAGCCCTGGCTGGGAGGGTTGAGTTGGGTTGGTCCTGCTCTGGGCCGGGGGCTGGACTCCATGACTCCTGAGGTCTCTTCCGGCCCTGGGGTTCTAGGACTTTTATTTATTTATTATTCACCACCCCACACCCTGCCATTGCTGCCCGGCAGAGCTGCCCATCGTAGTACCAGGGGGAGCGGTGCCCTTCTCGCAGCAAGGGGTCAGTCATCCAACCCAGGTGGCAGCCCCGCCCGCCCCAGGGGCACCTGGCGTTGGCCACTGTGGGCAGACAGGATACTGGGCTGGATGGGCCTTTGGTCTGACCCAGGCTGGCCGCTCTTAGGTTCCTATGATGGATGGACAGATGGCAGGACGGAGGGATGGATGAAAGGACGAACGGAGGGATGGAGGGATGGATAGAAGGATAGAAGGATGGAGGGATGGATGGAAGAACAGGCAGATGGATGGAGGGATGGAAGGAAGGAAGGACAGTCAGTTGGAAGGAAGGACGGAGGGACGGAAGGACAGGGGGATGGACGGAGGGATGGACGGAAGGACTGAGGGACGAATGGAGGGATGGATGGACAGACGGTCGGACGGGCAGATGGAAGGAAGGACGGAGGAACGGAAGGACAGAGGGATGGATGGAAGGACTGAGGGACGAATGGAAGGATGGAGGGATGGATGGACAGACGGACGGACGGGCAGATGGAAGGAAGGACGGAGGGACGGAAGGACAGAGGGACAAATGGAAGGATGGAGGGATGGAAGGACAGACGGACGGACGGGCAGATGGACGGACGGACAGATGGAAGGAAGGACGTCTACTCTGGACCCTCGGTCTCTCCCTCATTCTCCAGCATCCCCGTCTCCCCGCCGCCCCGGCCCCGTGGACGCGCTGGGAGCCCCTCTCTGCCCAGCAGCCTGAGCAGGGTTCCCCGACGGGGGGGGGACCGGGATTGCCAGGGGGCTCTCAGCCGCCGCTGGCCTCCTGTACCAGGGGCTGCGGGAGGCCCCGGCGTGGGCCAAGCGGGGAGCTTAGGTGTTTCTGTCCCTCCAGCCAGCTGGCCCAGCCCCCTCCCGCTCCCCTCTGCAGCTGGAATTGCAATTTGAAACACTGCCTGGGCTGGGCCGGGTTAGGGTGGAGGAAGGGCCGCTGGGAGGCCGGAGGAAGCCATAAAGAAAGGCGGGCGCG